CAAAGGATACAATTCAGTCTAATATTTAGATCAGCTCATAAAGAAACCTTGTGCCCATCTGCCATCACTCCTCATCATTCTATCCCCAACTTACATTCTCCTCCTGGCTAGGAGTAGAAATACGTTGTTTTGGGTTGTTATTTTTTTGAGACACTTAGAAACTAAGGAGTTCTCTTCTTTATTTAGTAGTGACAAGTTTTTTCCTTTGCCTTCTTTAAATATATAACATTTGGATTTTACCCTTATATCAGCCAGTTATATCTTAAATAAACCCAGTGAAGTCATATATATTGTCCTATTTATATCTTGTTAGATTTGGCTTGCTAATATTTTAGTTTCTTTGAACCTATGTTCAGAAGTGAAACTAATTTATAATTTTCCTTTCTTGTAAGGTCCTTGTCAGGTTGTGGTATGATTATGCTGGTCTTGAAAACTGTTTGGCAGAATTTGTTGATATACAATGCATGCTTGTGGTATTCTTTGTAGAAAGATTTAAAATGATATATTCAATTTCCTTAAGTTATAGACAATTTAGGTTTTATGTCTTTTCTTCCAACAGTTTTATTAAGTGACATTTTTCTGGGAATTGTGCATATCATTAAATTTCCTGGAATATGTTCTTCATAACATCCTTTTATTTGCCTTTAAGTATTTTCAAGGTATGCGATGATAGCAGTTTTCCTAGTCTTCATCTATCTGTGCTTTCTCTTCCCCTTGCCTCAGTCTTGTGACTGATTTTATCAGTTTTGTTGATTTTGTCTGCTGTATATTTGTTTTCTGTTTCATTGATATTTTTGCTTTTTCATATTTCTGGCAAACAACCTTCAGCCAAAAGGCATAGTTTTCATAGATCTAAGCCCAGTGATTCTTCATGATTTTTTTTTTGCCAACTTCAGTGATGATTTAAAAACATTTTTATATAGTAACAGAACTTTTCCAGTTCTCTTTGATTGGAAAATTGGTAGAATCACCCAAACTGCCAGTACTAGTCATACAAAACTGAAAGTTTCAAACCATGTATTTGAACAATTTATGCTGCTGTATGCACTATTTATTAATCATGAAAATCACTAAAATAAGTAAAGCAGCAGGGAATAAAATTACTAGATGGGAATATAAATTACTAGAAAGTTTGGGGAAGAAACCCAGAAAACATTCTCTTTGAAGGGAAGGGAAATATCCCAAATGTCCCCCAAGGATGACTCCACATTACTGTATCATGCAACACATCAGTGATCCACTCCATGTGAATATTCCCTGTGCGGACAAGTTCAATAAAAGTAAATGCAGCAAGAGCCCACTCACTGTGCATGCGATGACAAGGCAGTGACTATGGAACAGAAAGAGGCCTAAAACAAGAGTGGCCTTACTCTATTTCTGAGAGTGGTCCTATTTTAAACTTTCAAATTTTAGTTTTACTGGGCATTACTCTTTTATGTTGTTTTACTACATCTTAAAACTAGTTGCCTTTCTGCACCAGAGACATGAAGATACGGAAGAGAAGACATTCCTTAAACATAATTTTGGGGCTGGGAACTCACACTGGCTGTCCCTGTGACCCGGCTGCTGAGCAACCACCTTACACTGTTTGGTGACTAACAGCAAATTATGGGGGTGGCTGTCAGAACCAAGTTCCAGGCCATAGTGGGGAATACAATCATGAGGGGGGAAACTCCAATACCAGAATTTTCCATGTATTACTATGGTTACATAGTTTCTGCAGAAGGACTCATGTAAAAATTCATTAACCACAAAATTTTAGGGCTGAGACCCCTGAAACGCTAGTCTGACTTTCTGTTATATTCTCAATCCTAGAGTGCTCACTCCCACTTCTTCCCTGTGCTACTACTTCAAGTTACTTCTTTTTATAATTGTTTAACATTTTCTTTAAAAGTTAAATTTTTTTTCTGGTCTGGTTACAACAAGCTAAAAACACTGTAAGAATAAGGAATTACATGAAGTTCCCCTGTAATTAGTCACCCAGAGATTTGTTTTCTAGTAAGGTGCTAAAGTTTTACATTAATGGAGGTAAGATAATAGCCCATGTACTGTTTGAAATTTCTTTTTTTCTCCTTGCATTATGTTGTAGGCAACTTTGCATGCTTTATGACAGCCCCTGCTCCCTATCAACATACAACTGGGTTCACTCTTTCATAGTCAATGATTCTAAGTACTTTCCCACAGGCACATTTTTTACACAGAAAGATGTATTTCTACGAAGATGGATTCCTTGAAGTGAAATGACAGGGTATAGAGTAGCTATTGTAAAGCTGTCTTCCAGAGAAAATGAAACTTTTTTTTTGCTCTATATACTGAATTCAACATTGCATGAACCAACATTTCTTCTCTCCCCTAAAACAATGTATGTATTATATATATCAGGGAACATTTCTTTAACAAATTTTTAAAGACAGTTTTAGAATCACAGTAAAACTGAGGGGAAGTCAGAGATTTCCCATGTAGTTCTTACCCCCACATATGCACATCATGTCCCAGCTATCAAATGCTCCCACCAAATGGCACATTTGTTACAAGTGGTACATTTCACTGTCACCAAAGTCCACAGTCTACATTAGGGTTGATTCTTGATGTTGCACTTTCTATGGGTTTGGACAAATGTACAGAAACATGTATCTACCATTATGGCATCATACAGAGGTATTTTCACTGCCTTAAAAATCCTGTGTCCCGCCTATTCATCTCTCCAATTCCCCTTCCTAAAATCATTAAACTTTTTTTATATAATAGTTTATTTTTACATCATTGTGTACATTGTTTTTTTCATCTCAATTGTAATCCCGGTGGGTTTCCCACCACCCATGTGCCATCACCATAGTCCCGTGCTCTTCCCTCTCCCATTTTTGATCCCATTCCCCACTCCACCCCCACAAAATGTCTCTGGTATATGGCTGTTCATTATTCTTATTATTTTCTCGCCTGGTCCATTATACTCCTGTTATGAGCAAAACCATCCGGTATTTTTCTTTTCTAAAATCATTAAACTTTTTACTGCATTTACAGTTTTGCCTGAAATGCTGCAAGTAGATTCACATCTGTAGACTTCACAGATGAGTGTCTTTTACTTAGTGGTAAGTATTTAATGTTCCTTCCTGTTTTGTTTTGTTTTTTAAATAGCTTGATAGCTCCTTTCTTTTTGGTGCTCAAGAATATTTCAGCATTTAAATGGACCACAGCTTATTTACACTTTCACCTGCTAAGGGGCATCTTGACTACTTCCAATTTTTGGCAATTATGGATTAAGCTGATATAAATATCTAAGTGCACGTTTTTTTGTGGGTTTAATTTTTTTCAATCATTTGAGTAAATAAAAAGGAGCATGATTGCTGGATTGTAGGCTAAGAGTTTAGTTTGTTAAGTGATTAGGATAACTTTAGTTTGTAAGACTGCCAAACAATCTTTCACAATGTCTGTACCATTTTGCATTCCCATCAGCTATGAATTAGCGTTTCTGGTGCTCCACATTCTTTGGTGTTGTCAGTGTTTTGAATTTTTGCTGTTGTAGTGGGTGCACAGTAGCATCTCACTATGGATTTAATCCTCAAAGCTTTTTTTCTTTTTTGATTGTGAATGTGTATTTTGGAGTGATGTTAGAATCTTCCAGTAACCCTGGGTTTTCTCTCATGACTAAAAGCACTGGATGTACTGAACTCAAACTCTTAGCTGTGGGTAGAGATGTCCAAGCTTTGCACTTCCAATTGGACTGGACTGGTAGCTAGCCTGGATTCTGATTATAAGTCACTCTGTTCACCAGCCATCTAAGGCTAAGTGAGAACCCATGAGAACATGGTTTCAAAACAGGGCAAATGCCTGGAAACATTAGGAGGAATGGTGCTATCTGCTCGATTATTTTCCAGTAGTTTCCCAAGGAGTCTCACCATTCCCAGGGGTTGTAATTTATAACCCTGGAACACCCACAGAGTCATCCTCTCCCACACATGTTTTGGGTTGTGGTATTTTCTGTCAGTTGAAGCCTATGCGCTTTCCGCCTTAAAGGAATTTCTCAAAATTTCTTGTCTCTAATAATACAAATTAGTTTGCAGTATAGTGTTACACTTTGAAAAACAAATATAGCTTTTGTTATTTTTAGGTATCTGGGTGGCCCATGTGCTTGGCCCATCATCTTGATTTGATCTCTGCAGGTCATTTTAGGATTCTGGGAAAACAAAAACATAGCTCTGTCCAATAATTTGAACTCCTGAGGTAGAATAGTAAGAATTTATAAACAGGTATTACATAATCAACTAGTCTATGGTAGGTACTGAGTTAGGAACTTTAGAGATGTTATTCATTGCATCTGCAGAAAATGTGGGTGTTTTGAATCCAATTGTACCTGAGTCACTTTAGTCAGAGGAGTGAACACTGACCCCATAAGCTGCAGGGTGGGCTAACTCCTGACTTACCACTGAACAGTGCACCTGCACATGAAGAAACTGAGGTCAAAGCTGTCTAGCTGATTAGCCGGGGTCAGATGGTCACCAGAGGTCCCCTTGAGTTGTCATGTTATTATTCTAAGTGCGAAGTTACATAATTCCCTGTGACACTGACATGGAACAACTTTCTGTTTTGTTAACATGGGAGACTGAGTTAAACAACACGAGCCTAATGATGCATCCCAGTCCACTAGCTTGTCATCTTTGTGGTCCGACAAAGATCAAGTGATAACATGCAGGAAGTAGAAACATTAAAAACTTTTTGGCAGATAGTCTTTGAAAACCACAGATTTCTTAATCAACTTCCATTTTTGTTTTTAACTTTGCCTTCTCAGTCTACAGGCTAATGCCTTTTTCCTGCTGCTGCTTTCCACTTTCCCTGGGATTTAGCAAAAATATTTCCCTTGGTAAGCATTTTCCCTCGTTACTCTCTTGGCTGATTTTCTGCAAAAAGGAACTGAAAGGCATTTATCCCCAGGGGAAGCAGTTTTTAGATTTTACCAAGAAGTCAGTTAGCATTTTCAACATTCTCTTCTGTTCTTTCTTTGTTTTAAAGAAAGCTCTGGTTTTGTTTCATTTTCAGCTGGAGACTTAAATGACACCAAGCAAAGCCTACTTAGTTTAGATTTCCAGGTAAAAAGTTTTAAATTTTAAGTTTCTACTAAAGCATGTGAAATGGTTTTAATACTTGGTTATTTTATGTTGCAAATATCTTTAACACTTGAGGAAATTAACTATTATTAATAGATTTTAAACGTTTAAAGTGTGCATTATTCTGTTTACTTGTTTTTTTTTTTCAGGATGACGATTTCCCTAGTATTTCAAACTTTATGGACCTAGGATTTAAATATGTATTTGTATGCTTAAATAGGATTACATGCTCACTAGATGTGTAAATTGGTTTGAGAGTTTCATCCTTCCTCTTTTTTAATTCTTAAAAGAACATATAAGGATTAAATTAAAATGTTTTTCATTTTAAAAAGCTAAGTAAAGTTAAATGGGATAACAGACATCTCATGGCTTTGTGTGAAAGTTAAAAAATTCTAAATTTAATATTTTTAATGTTTACTTAAGACAAAACTTTAAATGGAAAAAAGCAAGTTAACTAAAGATTTAAAAATGATATTTAATGTTGAGCTAAACACAGTAAGTACTAGGAAGAGAAATTCACTTCATCAAAGTGATACTATAATTAGATTTTGCCCTAGAAACAAATTTATTCAGTACAAAGTTGTTATTAAAGAAAATATTACATGTAATGCAAAATCTTCAGATCATGAAACTAACAGAGGCCTAAGCATTAATTTTAAATTAATATCAGAGGCTATTTCATAAAAATTATTTAAAGATTTCAATTAGACTATTTAGATTCTGACTACATTAAAAATAAGAGTGTTCTGTAAACTTATTTTTATGCATACCTATGTATATTTCTACAAAAGTGGAAGTAAGCTAACTTGGGGGAACTGAAAACTAGGATAGGGTGAGATACTGGGAGAGGGTTGAGTACAGGAAGTGCCGTCAAGTGAGTGCTCACAGGGCCGGGATTACTGAGGCTTATTCTAGTTGTTTATCTTGAGGTCTCACGTCCAGCATTTTTCTCTTCATAGTTCTCACCATCATTGGTGAGAGACTGCACATACTATCATCAAAAAAAGGAAATGTAATGTACATGTTGTAAGCAATGTGTAACATTTGTGTTCTCCAGTGGAGTCCATCTTCCCTGCCACTCAACAAATCCTACTCCCTAGCTCATAATCTAACTTTTTATAACCTCTCCTTGCTACTATTGCTATTTCTTTCTAACATATGAGCTGGCACTCTGAACTGACTCTCATGATTTCAGTTGCCAGTCAGCTAATTGATTGACACCTCCTTGCATGTTTCTCTAAAACTAAAATAATTACAAAAAGTTGTTCTGATATAGTTTTATTTCATTAATCCTCAGTAATGGTTTTTAAATGACAGCAGTAATTAATGTACAGATATATTTAACAGAAATTTATGTGATGAGGTTAGGTGATATGAAGACCCCACAGGGAGTCCTCTTTGTTGAGCTAAGGTGATGTGGGGCAAGTCAGAAAATGAACCCGGTGCAACCTGATTACAGAGGATGATTCTGGTGGATGAAGTTATAAAAAGAACAAGTGAGATTCAAGAAGGTAAGTTATACTCTCTTTTCTCACCAAATCCCTAGAAATAATAGAAGATGTATTAAAAAAAAAACAACTGCACTAGGAAAAAAGAAGGGAGCTCTTGGTGAAACAGAAATTCCAAGTTGGAGAAAATATGGAAAAGTGTCTAAAGAGGAAGAATATAACTTTGAATAGTGCTGAAAGGAAATCAAGAAAGAGAACTTGTGTGGAAAAGAAAGAAGTGGTTATAATACAACCCTACACAAGACAGTAAAACTTTTGGTTATTATAGATCAGTTGAAAACTGAGAAAAACTTCTACAGAGGGGGAAAAAAGGATTTCTTAACAAAGGGATGAGATTCAGATTCAAGCTCAACATCCAGATAAAAGAAGCTAATGGAACAATAGCTGAAACATACTGGACACAATGACTTTAACCACGATTCTATTTCCAAGTAAACAGTATATTTCCAAAGTATGGGAGCTCAAGTTTTACAACCAGCAGTCTTTTAGAAAAAGAAGATCTGTTTCAAGTAGGAAATAAAATTTATCTGAGGGAACTTCAACTTCTGATAATGGCAGATCAAACAGTTAAGACCAATAAAGTTGCTGAGAATAATTAGAAAGGAAAAATTAACAGCATCAATGTTTGGGGTAATACTAAAACTCAAAGAGGTTTGAAAAGCTTTTCTTTTGGAAACTTCTGTGGATTCTAGAGAGGTGGTGAGAAACCTGAAACAGATTTAAAATAGACTCATGAGGCAAGTGAGAATGAAAAATCAAGGATAGTGTCAAACAAACCGCAGGGGCAGCAAGAAAAAGTGACATCATCAAGCTTTGGTTCATGATGAAAGCATAATTATAAAATTGGTAGAGTAAAGCTTAACTTCAGTTCACTTAATCTATGACTAGTAATGTTCTTAATCTCATGCCTCAAGCAGATGTAAACCTTTTGGGATAAAATATACATCATCCTAGCTTCCTATATTGTCATATACAGTGTCTGGCACTCAATCAAAAACTATTTGGCATATGAAGAAAAAGAACATGGCAAAAATAATAGGAAATAGAAATAGTTATTCTATTTTGGAAATATTCTCTAAAGTAAATGGGCCTCTCTATTCTCCAAATAGTATCTGGAAACTGGAGACTTCAGGCACAGACTTGAAAACAAATTTAACTCGTATGCTCAAAAAGTAAAAGACTGAAAATTTAATAAGCAATCAGAAACCACAAAAGCAAAATATATTAATAAACATGACCTATATAAAGAGTCAACTGAAAACTCAAAAACATAACAACAAGAACAAGGAAGTCAGTGGATAGATTTAAAAGCAGATAAATCACAGCTGAAGAGATCATTAATGAGTTAGACGGCAAGTTAGAATAACCAGGATGCATTAGTGAGTGATAGATGGATGAAAAACACAGAGAGAAACACTAAAGACATAATGAAGGCTATCAATATGTATAACTGTAGTTCTAAAATGAAAGAGTAAGAAGAAAATATTTGAAGAGATGTTTACAAATTTGATAAGCATCAGGTCATACATTCACGAGTGCTATGAATCTCAAATAGGATAAAAGTTAAAAAATCATATCTATGTACAAGAGTATTAAAAGCGGAAAACCAAAACCAAAGAGGACATTTTGAAAGTAGACAGGAAAAAAGTTACCTTTTGAAGGAAATATAATTAGATTGACAGATGTCTACTCAACAGAAACAAGACGCCAAAAATGCTATCTTCAAAATGCAGAATGAGAACATAGAACATCATTCCTAGCAAATACATCTTTTCAGAATGAACATGAAATATAAACTTTCAGTTAAAATTGCATTTCAAATACTGCACTAACAAACATGATGTGTTGCTGAAAGTACATTAAAAACATAAGACTGTAGAAAGGTTGATAGTAAAATAATGCAAAAATATACAAGCAGACATTAACCAAAAGAAAGCAACCCATTTTTAGATAAAGATCATCTTATAACAGAAAGCTCTACCCGAGATAGTGGAAGTAACCAATGATCAAAGCACAGCAGAAAGATACAATTCTACATTTGATATACTAGTACATGTCCTCAAAATATATTAACAAACATGACCTAAGTGCCATAACATATTAAACTGTATTCAAAAAATAAGCCAAAGAATAATGTAATTCAAAACAATATTCTTTTACTGTATTACTTGTAATTTAAAAATTTAGAACATAAAAATACTTCAGAAGATCTGACTTAGTGTTACAAATAGTAAAATACTGTACAAATTAAATATCCACCACTAAATTTCTTGTAACTAAGTAACTTATAAAAAGAGTATACAGACCAGATTAATTTATATACATGGGTGTATAGGCCCATGTGTCCACAACTTAATACAGAAAGGGAAAAACAAAAGGCTGTATTTATAAATGTCTGAAAATAGGTGTAATATAGATTGAACACTTCAATTTATATTTAGATATAAGTGTTCACATGTTTAGAAGGGCTTATGAAAGAAGCATCAAACTAGGGGTTGCAAAATTATAACGCTCAAACCAAACACTTTTTAAATAAAACACTATTAGAACAGTGTTTTACTTCTGGTATATGGCTATCTAGGAGGTTCAACAACAAAGTTGAGTCGTTTCAGAAGAGATCACTGGACAGCAAAACCAAAGACTTTTATTCTCTAGACCTTGAAGAAAGTGTGATCACCCTTGTAATGAACTATAAATTATGGCTAGGACAAGTCTATCTTTTCTGCCTTATACACTTATGTATCATTTTGAGTTTAAAATACATGTATTTTTTAATAAACTGAAACATTTTTTAAAAGTATTGATGAAAGAGCTAAAGAACTCGAGAGAAAACTGTGAACACAGTTTTTATCTTTGTCTTTTATAGGGTATCACACAACAACAAATTATAACTCAATCTAAGCAAGAACTTCCTATCAGGCTCTTGGAACAGGGAATGTGAGGACAGAAAGAATTCCCCAACACTGGAAAAGTAAATGACTTCAAAGATTCCTTCAAAGTCTGAGTTGTATCAGATACAGACAGAGCCAGAAGCAGAAGACTATAAATGAGGATGATTGCTAGAAAACAACAGAGCTTTATAAGAGCACAGGAAAAACAACAATCTGAAAAGCAGGCTCAGAAATTAAGGAGTGTGCACTGTGATGACAGGTACAATGTGGACAAGGTGTGGACTTGCTCCTTCAGATGCAAGTTTCAAAATGGAAGAGGGAGTCTGGAAACAGATCAAAAGAAAGCTTCTTGGAATCAGAAGAAAATCTTAGGAAAGAGATTACCATATGGAAATAATGCTTCATTTATAACTAACCACTGAAGGATCCTTTTTAGTGACAACTCATTAGCTCTTGCCTATAAGCAACATGTGACTGTGCTTATTAAAATCCTTCAATAACTCTTTAATTTTCTAAACCAGCGTTTCTTCATTTTGGCACTGCTGACATTTTGGGCTGAATTCTTTGTGGAGGGGCATTGCCA